TAGCATACTTTTTCGTTTTGTAATCTGTGCATGGATATTAGCCAATCTACGCACATACTACAAAACGAAAAAGTATGTTATTGTGTTCAACTACGAATATATTTCATATCCATTTTAGGTAGTAAGAACACTTTAACAAAATTAAATCTACAAATCACAGTTCATATTTTGGTCACCCAACTCCTATTATTTAAAATTTTTTAAATAAGTGACAATTCTGTTAAACTAATTGTCAATATATATTTTAGTTATTGATATTAAATATACATTAAAATTTTTGTGCAGACTCGATAAATAATAGCATTTTTGTTTCTCTTGTGTCCACATTTAAAAAAAAATAAATTTTAATTAAACTACATGATACTAATTTAATTACGAGTATTAAAACTAAAGTCCTGAAAGTTTCGGTGAAGATGAAGACAGAGCATCTGCCTTCCACGCGAAAAGTCCGGGATTGAATCTAGGCCGAGGACTAATTAATTTTTCATGTTTATTTTATTTTATAAATTAGTCAACTTCGTAAATTATTTTAAAATTAGTTATTTTGTCTAAATAACCTAAAATAATTTTTTAAATTTGTAGATTTTCGTTAGTGGGTCGTAGAAAAAATATACTGACCATATCGAGTAGATTGTTCATATCACAATCAGACGATTGAGTTCTCCGCCTACGACGTCGTGCTCAAACTTCGTCTTTGTGTGATATGGCTATCATATTCACTCTTGTTGAACAAACTACAATTTATTTGTTTTCTTGGTTTAAGTTTTACATCAGAAATAGGAATTACATTAATTTACTTTTCAAGTTTTCTTGTAAAAATCGATATTACTTTCTCCAAGTACAAATTTAGTACCTACCTAAAATAAGTACTAATTATGTTATATCTTGTAATATTGTAATTCAAATTTCACATTACTATAAAGTTTTAAAATTTCCTACTTCGGTATGGTCAGATAAAAATTGAATATATTATATTAATAAAAACTGTCAAAGTATAACTTCTACAAATCTGTATTTCAAATAATAAGAATACATCTAAATATAACCAATATTGTTAAAACAAAAGCACACATTCTTTATAATTCCAAAATACCATAGAGTTCCCAGACCTCAGTCGAAGCATTCGTTTATCTAGGTATAAACCCTTTGCGCGAAGAGTAACACTTGCCAGAGACACGGGGGTACCACTTGATTTGCATCCACGAGCGTGACACAATTCTTTAACAATTGAAGCCCTTGGTGTAAAATGGATCCAAGCCACAATTTGTCGTGAAGTGACTGTTTTAGCTCAAAACATTTGTTAACGAGGATTTTACTAGCCATATATAAATTATTTTACCTCTAATCCGAAAGATGTGCTATTTTTCGTAATATTTATATTTAAATAATTTTTTTAATTATATTTGAAAGATTTAAAACAAATTAAAAATGTAATTTCCCAAAACTTACTTAATATGGCATGTGACCAACCTTATTACGCCAAGGTTTTCAATTTTTTCAATAATAAAAAAATTGTTTAATCCGGGCCCGACTTTTCCCTTGAATCTAACAGAGATAGCACCATTCCGTCTTGCTTGGTTCTCGACCGCCAGATCAAAGACGCCGACACGGAGTTGTGGAGCTGTATTGTATAAGCTGTGATATTACTCCACATTTCCGTTGTCCAGGATATTTTGGATTTTGCCCAATTCAAACGTTTTTTCATTTGAATAGCTGTCAGTAAGAGCTTTTCCTTCGCCTATAAGGAATGTGTGTAACAGACATTATTAATTTTTGTGTATTAAAACGAAAAATTACAAATTTACTTTATAAAAACTGTAACCAGACTTAAGCAACCATTGTCTACAACATTCCCTAGAGACATTTAATTTTGCTTCATGATTCCATTGGGCTTGTATTTGTCGTAGAGTAGCCCTTCTGTTGGTTTTGCAAATCTTTACCAGAACACGGCGTTTTCTTTCTGTGATAGTACGCGGTCGGCCTGGACTTTTACCACGAACGTCAACACTAGCTGTCTCTCCATATTTTTTAATAATATCCCTGATCGTTAATTTTGCAATATTTAAATCATTCGAAATTTTTGCATTGATTTACCTCTGTGGTACTGAGAAATTATAATTTCTCGTAGTTTTTTGTTTGTTGCAACTCTACGAGCCATTTTCTTAAAAATGTATATCAAAATTTGACGGATAAACTTTTAACTGACAGCTATTGACCAAAGCACACTAAATTTATCAGTAAATGCATGCATATTACTGATTTCAAAGCCAATAAAGATTAGCGTCCGAATATTTATTTGTCGGCAAATTTGATCAAATTCCGTAACGTTGTTATGTAGTTTATACAAAATAAAAAAGTATTTCCTTACGATCAGGTTTTATGTTAAATAAAGAGTATATGACTTGAGTTTACACTCAGGAAAATCGAAAAATATTTTTAAAATAAACATAAATATATTTTTTTAATTTTTTTACGTCGTCCGAACATATAGTTGTTAGGGCTCATAAATAGTCCGATTTATCGGGCGGACGGGCAGTGGAGAATAAAGTGTTGGACAGAAAAGTTAAATTGTAATAAATAAATTAGAATTGTGAGTTAGTGCCTAAGTATTATATAAATTAATTAATACGTCACAAATAAATTGTAAATAGTGTGTTTTAAATAAATAAACTATAAATATATTAAACTATCGTTACAGTATTGTGAATCAATAGCTTCATTTAAAAATTTACTTATTTCATCAAAAAAAATTATTCTTTTAAAACCATTTGATTGCTTTTTGAGGTATGCTTTTAATTTTGGGTGCGTTTTAATATTAACTTTATTTTTCATGGAAATTACGATTCTTTACATAGAAATACATTGCCCATAATGATGAAGGTTTGAATTGTTCCATAAGTTCCCCAAAATATGCCAAAAGCACATTCTCTAATAATGAGTTTACATTGTTTTTATACGTCAGTCCATAAACTTTTGGTGTACTATTTCATACATTTCCCTTGATTTTGAGGGCAGTAACTTGTTAGTACCCAGATATTACAAATACCTGCTTGGACATTCAGGACATCCTTAAAACGTCCATTTCACGGGCGTGGCCGTCTTTGGAACGTCCATTGTTAATAATCAGGATGTCTTAAGAACGTCCATTTAAGAACATTCCATGGACATTTTCAAAAGCTCAAATGGGGAACGGGATGTTTAAGGAAATTAGTGAAAATAAAAAATAATTTCAAAAAAATTTATTTTGAAGCAAATAACCTATGAATAATAAAATTATTTAAACTTTTTCGTCAAATTCATCCCGTTTCTCTTCATTGTTCTTTGCAACCATGCCTGGATTGACAGCAGTTGTCTTTCTTGATTTGGCCATAGTTGCCTTCTCAGCTGAACCTGAAAATAATTTAATCGCTTATTCAAAATAAAAGGCAGACCAATATTAAAATCCAATATGTTTAAGTTTGACTTGCTAGACATTATAAACTCACTAACCTTTTAATTTTGTAGTATTCACTGGAAAACTTCCACCTTTCTCAGACGTAAAAATGGTGCAAACTGTAAAAAAATAATATTAATCAACCACAAACTCACAGAGTCGAATCACAGTCAAATGGCGGAATGATAGAACTTGTATAATATATACCATCGAATCATGAACATTGAACACCATGTTTTTTCTTTTTTTTTTTTAGTAAAACCTGAGCCCTGAGAATATTTCAGTACTTGAATCTAAATAAATAAAAAAAATGTCACTTGTCAACAATGTCCCTTTCTTGCAAATGACCTTCTTCGTTTTTGTCTATTTCGCCTTCATTCAATTGGATATTGGGACAATGCCATCTTTAATAATTATTTATATTACCTCATCTCATTACATATGTTTTTTATATAATATAACCAAATAATAATACAATTCGAATGTGAATCCATGAAAATATAGTAAAGCACGTAGAATTGAAGTTCTGCGGATATCTTTTTCTTGACGTCCCGAGGATTTACTAAACTGGACATATTTAAAACGTCCAGAATTGGTCCTGGACGTACAGACGTTGAATGGACATCTAATGGACGTCCTGTGCTATCTGGGTAGTATTAGCAGCTTTTTCAAGAATATCAGGTGAAGTTCCTTCAAATTCATTTTTACTATCTGACGAAATCATTTTATTCGTTAAAAAAATTAATTTGTAACTACAAAAATAGCGATTTTTCTATTTCTGAAATGTCAAAACTATTTATCGTAACCATAGCGACCGAGTAACATGGATAGTTTGATAAATGAAACTGTTAGGTAATAAAAACTATGATTTTCACTCTTGCTGCAAAGCGGGAACGATTTTTGGAGATTTATCCTAGGCGAAGGCAAATCATACATCAGTGTATTTCTTGTATTAGGACGTGGAACGTAAATCTCAAGCATTTGCAGTACTTCTTCAGTCAATTAGATGGTGAATAACTTTGATAATTTTTCGGGACTCAAGCGATTTGATATAAAAATGATCAAGAAGTGCATCATGGGGATAGCCTATAGCATGATATGTACTGTCTTGTTTGAAGGTAGCATTTTCTTAAACAATTTTTAATTCCTAGATCATGACCCATCAAACGTTGATTAAGTAGGTAATCAATTTTGACAACAAAAAATGTCACTAAATTAATTTAATTTTGAACCAGAATATCATATCAATATAAATATATGTATTGTACATTCAATGTACGTAATAAAAATGACGTTTTGGATTATCCGGCTCGGTCCTGACTGGCCCGAATAATCGAGGTTCTACTGTATCTTCCTTTTCTTTATTTTTTACTTGTAAGGTGGTACATTGTGATATATAATTTTATTTCTGTATCATATGCGAACACTTTAATATACAAAATATCTAGAACATTCTTTGAATGGTTGTGGTGGTAGGAAAAATTGTGTACATAACTCGTTGGAAAGTGTATTTTGTCGGCACTGTTTTGTCATGGAGCCGTTAAAATAATCTTGTTTCTATTTTTGTGGTGTGATATTTGCCGAGGTGTACCCCCTATCTACATACAAGTGACTATTACAAGTAGCGAGTCAAATATACTATTTAATTTTTTTTTAAATTGTTTCTTACTTGCGGTTAATAATTCTTCCAGAATTTTGTGCTGGCTTATGGAGGCAAAAAAGGGATTGTAGTAAAACACATAAATTAATGCATAGACATAATATTTCTTAATTCAATGTACAGTATATATACAACAGCAAAATCATACAGAGTTCATTTTCGACTACTTGAATAATTTTTTCTATACTTATAAGTTCTCATACAAAATGAATATAAAAATGCCAATAATTTTATGTTAATTCTTTTAAGTGGTTTACAAATATTTCGTATTCGAAAATTTCAAAATTAAATGTTACAATATTGGTCCAAAAAGAACAAAATGATATGTTAAACAGTTTTGGTCTAATTACAGAAATTAGTATTTTTCTTGTATATTTAAATATATATCATGTTATATATTTTTGATCTATCATCAAATCATTTTAATTTATTTCTTTGAAGTTTATTAACAATTATTTATTAATAATGAACAATGTGAATTCTTTAATTTGGATTCAATTTAGTAGATCCTATATGATTCTTTCCATTTCTCACCATTTAGAAGATTATTTAACACTATAATACATCAACCAATGAGAATCCTCTTTTTTCCAACACTGAGAGTTTCAGTATTTTTACTATATCCTGCGAAACGTCAATGAGAAGTCAAAAAGGTGACGAGAAATAAACATAAATTTTGTTTGTTCAAATATTAATGTAAATTATTTAAACAAATAAAATTAACATTAAATTGTACTTAAACGTTCTGTTTATATTGTTAAATAGTCTTTCCAAATACCACGAGAGGTGAACATCAGTCGAGTGGTATTTCGGGAGGATTTTATTGAGTGAAATTTTTATAATTTGTAGGAAACAACAAAATGTTCTCAAAAATTCTCACCTCGTGTGGTATTACTCTTGATAATTGTATTTTGTGAAAATTTTATCATAGCTATATGCCAACAAAGACTGGATAAAATGATTTCATATTCCCAATATTTACTTTTCTCATTCCAGAATTAATAATTTTAATAGGTATATTATGTCTCATTTAAATTTTAAAAAGGGACAAATATAATGAATAATTTATTATAAAATGATATATTTTTATTTTCAAATCAGGTATTTTTTATTATCTACCCATTACAAAATTTCATTTTACGATTCAGATTTTATATATTATGAAGAATTTTAACATTGAGCTGGTATTTTGATTTTAAACAATTTTTTTTTATATTTCACTAGGCCTTTGGTCCTCTTTTAAAATGAAAAGATTTTGATTATTTTTACAAGATTTATTAATAAAGAACCTTACACAAAATATATGCAGACAATATTAATTGTATTGTTTAATTTTTAAGAAATTTCATTTGATTGTTCAATTTTTTCAGAAATAATCAAAAAAATATTTTTTTATGTTTTATAGCTTTTCTTAGTGTAACACTATCGAAATTTTTAATATTCTTAATCACAATTCATTTCTTTTGTGACTAAGAATATTGAAAAAAATAACATAGTCTTACGCTGAGAAAAAGCAATTGGACATGGAAGCAAGTGACGTCCTTTATCAAAAATTGAAAACTCATGTTGAAACCGGTCTTAGTGGTTAACACACTTAAAATTTAACACTAATCGATTCAGTAGTTTTTTAGAATAAAAAAAAATGTTTTAAGAGCTTCGTTTAAAGCCCGGTTTAATATCTTATTAATTCGATTTCTCAACTTAAAAAAATACGGGTGGGTATTTTTATTTTTAAATCTGTTTACATTATTATTTTGGCAGTTTTATTTAGAATCACCTTATATAACAAAAACTACCGCTTATTTTAAAACAACATTCATTAACTATGATTATTTCGTTCGATTTTCATTTTTTGTGTAATTTGATAATTGAAAAGGCACAAAAAAATATTTTTGATTCTTTCCTCAAAATAATTTGTCGCATGTGTACGTTGCAGGGTTCTTTATCATTTAAAACCTAAAACAAATTATTGGCATATTTTTATACCGTTTTATTTATAAAAAGTTTACAACTTGGAAGCAACTGTAGTGGTAAAATCGTCAAATATTCGTGTAATATTTGTGTAAACTTTAAATAAATAGCTGTTTAATTTTTCTACTTATAATATTACAGCTTATTGACATATATGTCTCCTCTAAGTTTGTTTAGAATGAGTTTAATTTTTTATATTTGTATTGGCATTTAGAATTATATAAAAATTCATGTGAACCTCGTATATATATTTTTTTCATTAGTAACCTTTAAAAATTATTAATTGTTAGGAACTTGGACCCTATACATCAGATACTATTACAGACAGACACATTTAAGGTATGTACAGGGCGTTTCATAACTATTTGGAAATATAATAGAAATAGTTTTTGCAGAATTTATTGAATAAATATGTGTTTCATTAATAAATTTTAAAATTCGAAATAAAAAATTCGTAATTGACATATATAAGCCATTTTTGATTGTCAATATTTTAAATGAAATATTCTGCAAAATTAATTATCCAAAACATCATAAAACCCCCAATAATAAATAAAACGCTATCAATTTTTTCACCAAAAATATATTTTCTATCACATCAAATTTTAAACGATATTTTACACAAAGTCCACTATATAACATAATATTTTTTCGCTAATTTTAATCATTAGTTTAAATATACAATAATTGAATATGTTAAAATTACTTACACTTAAACTTCATATCACAGTCTTATCAGAGTTCTCTTTAAAAAATATTATATGTGGTGTTTGTGTTTAAAATACAAACAATATAACAACTCAAGGCTACCATCAAGATAGTAAATACCTCAAAACGTATTTTTTAACAGAACTGTTAAAATTCGAGGTCAATTACGATAAAATATGTCAAAGTCAAATGTCATAATGTATAACATTATGAAGGTTTAAAGATATTTGGTCCATTTTGAGCTTCACTCTAGCAACCAACTCAAATTATGATAATCTAGGCTAAAACTGTTATTTTCTACTTATTCACTATATAAGATTTTATACAGTGTGTCTACTTAAGGTGGCACCATATGAGAAAATTATCAGTTTTATAAAAAAAAGTTATTCCTTTTAAAAAGTTCTGCTTAGTCCAAAACGCAAATTACAACCATCAGGTTGTGTAGAAGATTTGTCGAAAAATATGAATTTTATGAAAGAGTAAAGTATCTATCTTTATTTTTAACGATATTGACGTGTTGATTAGAATTTAAAACTACAATCGTATATCCAATATTATCCATCTAACATGAAAAACAAATTCATAGTGTATGTCTACACATTGATATTTAAAGTTATCGTCAAAACACCAGTTTAATTTTTAAACTAAATCAAATTGATTTTTAGTCTAGGATGCAATGACCAATTTTTTAAAGTAAACGTCAAAACTAATTAGAATTTATAAACAAAAAATATACAAAAAATGAATATCTGGCTGTATTTTTTAAATCTGATCAACTTTTCTTAATAACAATTTTCGATATAGTTAAAAATAAAGGTACTTTACTCTTTACAAATCTCTTATAAGACTGAAAAATTTGAATATCTGTCTGTATTTTAGACCATGTAGAACTTTTTATGAAGAATAGAATTTTTGCATAAAACTAATAATAAAAAAGTTTCCCATATTATGCCGACTTAATTAGACTGTATAATTTGTATATTTTTGTTATAAAATTAATTTGTAATTGAGATTGTTCAGTTTTTGAGCATCTATCGATTAAAATGGCACAAGTATAATACAGTAATATTTGTCATGAAATTTTGATTTTAGAATGGCATTATCCTTAAATTTAAATATAAGTTCCCAATCCGTAGACTATTGTAAAAGTCTCTATCAACAATAATCTACATAAAATAATTATTCAATGCTCTGAATTAATAATCTACAACTTTTTGTTAATTGAAAAATAATAGTGAATATAATAACTTACGTCAAAACTATCACTTGTCAGTAGACTAGGGTCAGTTTCCAATGTGCCTGAACGAGCTCTTAGGGTAAATTAAATGTTTTGTTTTTGTGGTAGCTACAATGTTGAGGGTAGCCATTTTTTTGCTTCCTTGAAGGTGTCATGTCTGACTTACTATAAAAGGTTCACAGAATTCTTTACAGCGTAATAATACTTGAAGCCTATGCACATTGAGATGCAAAAAATGACCGAGAACAGTCCTAATAGTAGGTACCTAAATTTTGGTTCCAAATTTTCTACTATAAGTATGTTGTTCTTTTAGTTTATAATACTATATATTAAACTGGCCGTCTTCGTTTTTGTGTTTTTTATTGGTCGTTTTATTCCATTGGTTTCGATTAAAAAAAATGCAAATGGTACCTTATACATTGCTTAAAATTGCTTAAAAGGAATTGCTTTAGTAAACCACAGCTTGAACTAGGAATTTTAGTTCTCGAATTCAAACTAATTTATTAGGTATTACAGTTCAACAAAAAATACATTTACTGTAACAATTCCTGATAAGCTTTCATTTTAAATAATTAGAATCAGCTCTAAATACTATAATCATCATTTTAAAATTTTGTATTTTTTAATCAAAATATGTAATATCCAAAAATATATATCTATAAAAACCAAATTTAAACATTTTTTTACAACAAATCCCTCCCAAATTTTTTTGAGCTGATCATATCTAAGGACTATATAACAGGCCATCTCATATTGATTTTATACTAGTAAGTACCCCACATATTACTACTTTATTGACACATTTTTATTACCTCCTACAAAAAAGGTAAGAGAAAATAGTTCTAAGTTTGTACCTCATCAAATTTATATACATTCAAACGTTATATATAAATCGATCAATTTTTCTAAAAAATACTGATCTTGAACAAGATTTTACAAATATTGTAAAATTATAGTACCGATCATCAGGTATTCCCTAAATTTTCAGTTTTAAGAGCTTATTTAGTGGTATTCTTGGTGCAATGTTGGTAGTAACACTTTCAAGTCACTTGTTATAATGAATTTTGTTAATTTACTAATAAATAAAACATTTACAAATTCAAATTCTATCCTTAAGTGAAGACAAAGAGAAAAATCTAATGGAAAAAATTCCAAAATGTAAATGCATCGATGTTTTGATTCTTTACAAGAAAACGCCGAAAATACCACTTTTCCCTAAAACAAATCAACCTCGCCTTTATTCGAACCAATAGAATAAAATCATTCTGCCACGAATTTTTCCTCAACAATATTTACAAATTTTTACAATATAAATTTGATTTAGACCTTTTTTCATCAAATATTCTAACTAATACACGATTTTTATCATCGTCCTTAGGATATCACACTTGTTCACTCGCATTGTTCTTCAGAGCAGTGAGAAAGAAATAGAGAGTAATCTCGAATGAGTGCATTAGAGCAAGATAGCAGGCTATCTTTTATGGAGGATGACCTAGATGACGTCCATTCATTATGCGTTAGGAAATTGGACGTTACTTTCACGCAGTATCTGGTCATATTTCTCTCCGTATTAATTTACCATTTTCCCAATGGGCGCAGCTCATTCGAAGAGGGCTAGGATATCGTCATTTGCCGACGTATTGGCTTGACCGGAACTGCTACCGCTAGAAGGCGGTGTGTTTAGGTCTGGAGGATCCAGATAGGATAGAAGTTCCATTGGGTCAACGCTGTCGGGCAGTAACTGTAAAAAAAAACGGAAATTAATAAACGAACACACACTGCAACCAAGTTAGGCAGGGTTCTAAAAAACCTGTAACTTTCATTTTAATTGAACAAGTCATTTGCAAATCACATGTTTTTAAGCTGAATTAGGATGTGGTTTAAAGCACATCCGTGCCCCACATCAGGTTGATATTCTTAATGACTTCAAAAATATGTCTAATAGTCGCTTTCGCGATTTATTTAGGTTCCGGATATTGTAACAAGAAGTGCCAATAAATAAATTTCCAAAATGTGAAAACTCAAATATATAATTCTATGTAGTGGGGCACATTAGATTATTAATATATGATTGGAGTTGTATTTTTTTAAATTAGTAAAAAGTTAAGATTTTGATATGTTTGAATAAAAATAAAATGAATAAAAGTAAGAAAGCAAAGCAAAAACATTCCATTAAGTGTGCGTTGATTGCACAGTAACTAATTTTGGTTGAAGTGTGCAATTTTTATTTTTAATTTTTCTGTGTAATTATTTTTTCACAAAAGTCCCGATGATGGCATTTGTGCCGAAAGCGCTTGACTGATTTTATTAAACTAGACAGGAACATCTTAGATATTCTTACAACTTTGCACACTTTAAATACGTCTTTCATTCCTCCTCAACCTTTGATCATCCATTATATTTTGACCACTACTTATTTTCATAATTCTTGTGAACTCAAAAAAAGTTTCAAGTAAAAGCTTTTTTGTTTTATCTCAACTTTTTCGCCCACAGTATAACCCATTACAAGTAATCAATTGACAACTTTTAATAAACAAACAACTGTTTCACTTGGAAACATCATTTTCATAGCCATCTATGTGTTACGCTTGCATAGTGCAATAAGTCACTAAATAATTAAAATATTATATATTTGTAATCAGGAAATGCAAATCTACTTAAAATGACAAAAATATATAGGGTGTCCCATTAAAAAAATTAAATTATATTTTGTTGGAGTCGTCCTGTATATACAATTCAGCCTGTTATTACATTTTTAGTCGGTACGTATAGAACAACACAGCTTTTACTTAAAACTTTTTTTGTGTTTGCAATAATAATGAAAATAAATAGCGGTCAAATTATAATGAAAAACCCTGTACTACTTGCTTGAAAAACATTAAATATTGTAAAATGATTAACAAGATACTTTAAAATCAAATGGTATGAAGTGGTTTTGGCTAAACACCTTTATTAAAGTGCGAAAAATACGTTTATACTAAAAAACTTTATAGATGAAAAAAAAAAAGTAGTGCTATTAAGCCTATTGAAACAGAAAAAATATTTATAAAATAAAGGTTGCAATTATTATTGATAAGAGAAAAAACATTTAATTTAGTAGTTGAAAAGAAAATTACTTTTAAATTAAAGCCGAAAAATTTGGAACTCATTCAAAAATGTATTGTATGTATATTAAGTGAGCTGGCAGAACTAATTTTCATATTCTTAAAAATTAGTATACATTTTTTTGACGTTCTATGTATATAAAAAAAAATATTTCCAACTCAAATGTAACCAAGGCATAAAATAAATGAAACACAAAGCCATATGTCACAAAATAGCGAATGTTTCCCTTCAGAAAACAACCACTCCTTTGGATAAAACCTTAGCAGGTATTGAATTACATCCAAACGAAAGACAACAGAAATTAAATCTCTCGGCGACATGTCCACGACAGATGAGCATTCGAATTTCGATTTTAAGCGTTCGATTTTCGGCTCTACGAACACTTAAAATCGAAATACGCACGTTCATCTGTAGTGGACATGTCGTCGACAAGCTCCGCGAAGAAAGTTATTAATTACTTGTATTAAAAACAAAATCTAAAACTGTCAACAGTATTTACAAAAGTATAACGATCATTAATAATTTCATGTCAATTTAGTAGTCTGTTTGTTGCGGATATCACTTATAGGAATAAACTTGGTACAAAGTAGTTAATAAAAATGCAAATGTAATAGAACATCCTGTAATATAGTGGACCTGTAATGATCTGCATAGAAACGAATTGTCATTTAATATCATTATAATAAAATATGATTGAAATTTGATTTCTACTTGAATCTTTATTTAAAAATCTCCTAATTATTTACACAATAAACCGGTTAAATCCCACTACTCTACTATCAGTTGCCAGCTTTTTAATACAGTTGTATAATTCAATGATTAAACTTGGTACAAATAACGTATTCTTTAACGATTTGTTACTTACATTTAGTGCCTCCTGTCCTGTCCCCTCTCCATCGATAACCGCCGCTGGGTCGAAGTTGAGATCTGAGGGTATTTCCGGTATCGAACTGTCATTGTTTCCGCCACCGTTAGAACCACTTCCAGAAGTACCATTATTAGAACCGGTGCTGGTATTGTGAGAATCGGAAGTGGCTGGTGGAACGCTCGGAGGACCAGTCGTACCGCCGCCAGGCGTGTGTGCCGAACCCGGCGTACCGCCCCCGGGAGTGTGAGGCGTGTGCGGGGTGTGAGGCGTGTGAGGTGTGTGAGGCATCTGAAAATAAAAAAGAAACTATATTAACTTGTTCTGTTTTGTAATTCTTCGTTCAGCTGTTCTTTACACGTACGTCAATAATACCTCATAGTTATACATTTTTTCTGATTCTCTTTTATTAGAAAGGAGGTACCTCAGGGGTGGTCCCATATAAATTTGGTAAAGATCTTTAATGTCATCATATTAGTTACGACGCATGCATGAATAACTGAATAACAATGAAAAAGATAATCCATATTCGATCCTGGGTCATCAATTATTTGTAACATTTAATAACTTACCTGTTCATTGAGGCTTTTCTCCATGGCATTCAGCGGATCCAAAGAATTGACAGACTCGCTGAGGTGCGACAATGGACCGTTTCCGCTTAAGTAGTCGTTGCTTCCCGAATATGAATTGCCGTACGCAGGCGGTCCTCCATTCATCATGGAACCACTGGCGATGCTGTTCATGTCTGGAGGTAAGTAGGGCGACATGGCTTGCATATCCCAGTTGTTCATAGTCGGAAGAGTCATGCTGCCCGGCGACATGGCCTTATTTCGTTTACTCGCGCTACAAGAATCGTTGCTCTCGTCCTCCATCTTGATTCCAGGTATATGTACCTTAGCAGCTTTCCAGTTAGCAGAACTGTCAATAGTGACTTCTTCTACCTCAGATGTGCTTAAGGTATTAAGAATACCCCACATGTATTGGTCGACTTCTAATCCTTCCAATTGCGCAGGTTTACTAAAAAAACAGATTACATTATAATATATTGGGTACTTGCATCAATTTAGTGACTATAGAAATGATATTCCAGCCTACTCACTTGCATACTGGACACCGCCAAGCACCTCTCTCGCAGTTCAATTGAAGATACGATTCCAGGTCGAAGCATTGTATGTGTTTGCACTCGTGCCCTCTTGCAGGCAATGTTATCCTCTTGAACGTTATAGGACACTTCACAGAAACTTTCAGAGCTGTTTGTTCAACAGCGTCCCTATCACCAGTTCCAGCGTTAGAAGCTCCAGTATTGCTAAAGTTCCTTTTGATTTTAGCAATACAATGATCAGCAGTAAGTAGTCGTTTTCTTAAAAGGCCTTGGAGTACAGACCGGACGCTCGGCCTGTGAACCAGTTGAAGAACAAAAAGATGCGACTGGAAAAAATAAATCAAAAATAGTTTACACAACCCTTCTAGACACAAAATCGTATCTACTCACACAACAACAAGCTGAGACCGTAATCTGTATCGTATTCCTTCCAGGTTGGCACACATCCTTCAAATACAAAGGTTTGTGTGACGTCTTATTCTCCCCCCTATCAATCATCAACGGCGTTGCGTTGACAGAAACCTGTACAGAAGCAGGCCAATTGGTATTCATCTGTCTATCTTCGTGGTGGAAGCACTTGAGCTGTAGTTCTAGGTCTTGCCGCCACATTAAGGTTTGGTGTACGGTCGGTTTCAGCTGGAAAACATGGTTACTGACAGCCAAATTGTGTTCTAGCCTAAATGGAGGTAGGATTATACCGTCTCGAACCGGGAAAGTTAGCCTCAATTCATCATCTGAAATAAAAATGGCTTTTAAAACTTATAGTCATGTGAAATTATGTAATGTATTTAACAATGTGTCTGAAGTAATTCATTGTTATCTACGAATGGGTACTTACTTTGCAAAGGTAAAGGAGGCTTCAATTCACTGAAGTTAGGTTTGACATCGGGATTCGGACTAATATACGGCGGCATACTGCTGGCTGGAGTAAGAGGAGGTGTAGGATTACCCGGAATGGGACTGTGCTGGTAGCTCATGTTATTTCTCATGGATACGTCTTGTTGGAACTGTGCCGAGGAACTGGTACCGTACTGGTTGGTGCCGCTAGCGTTACTGCTCATGTTATACTGGCCAGAATTGTTGGATGGGAACTGGTTCATCGATCCTCCGTTAAAATACTGTCCTTGGTTGGTGTATGGTGGAGTGGCTTGCCTCATTTGCCTGGGCGTGCCAATGGACATCATACTGCCGGGCCCAAAGTTGTTTGAGGGACCTAGTGTTTGCTGTGAGGGATACTGGCTGAAAGTTGGCTGCCTTGTGCTAAAATAAAAGTACAGTTGTATTAAAAATGTTTTCAAAATGACATTACTAGCTTAAATATTCAATCTTTCGAAATATTATACTTAAAATTTGTTCTAAACTTACCTATTGTAGGGGTACTGACCATTGGGGTTAAAATTAGGATTCATTGAGGCGGCCATGTTAGGATTCATACTGGGATTCATGGAAGGGTTCATCGAAGCGCTCATACTTGGATTCATAGAAGGATTCATAGAGGGATTCATAGAAGGATTCATAGAGGGGTTCATAGAGGGGTTCATAGAGGGATTCATAGAGGGATTCATAGAAGGGTTCATAGAGGGGTTCATAGAAGGGTTCATGGAAGGGTTCATAGAAGGATTCATAGAAGGATTCATAGAGGGATTCATAGGACTCATGTTAGGATTCATGGTGGGGCATGAATTGGGGTAATTCTGTTGCGCGCCTCGTTTTTGGTTCATGTGCATTGCTGGCGAGGGGTAAGGGGTCATTCTTCTGGGGTACATTGAATTAGAATTTGGTCCTGGGCCTTGCATTCCCATTTTAGGTCCCATATTGCTCATCATGTTGTTGTGCATGCCCCCCATGTTCATGTTCTGAAAAGAAAACTGTTTTTACCATTGTAAAAATTAATAAAATATGTCTTATAATTTGCAAGTATTTTAAATAAGATAGTTATTATTAAAGATGAAGACCACTTACCATGGGATTCATGCCATTCATTCCGTTCATGCCCATCATTCGCTGTTGGTAGCTTTGCTGGTACTGTTGATTATTGAATTGAGAATTATCTTGCAGCGCTACCACACTGGCAGTGGCGGTAGCTGTAGCTGTCGCTGCTGCTACCATTGCGGCGGTACTAAGTGCGTTTCCGCTTCCGTAACCTTGGTCACCACCATTCATAACATTACTTGCACCATATCCACCGACCCTGTAACAAAGACAAAAAATTATCAGATGGAAAACTACTTTATTGTTTTTGATTCTCTTGATAAGAATAGACAAATTAATGTGAAGGTTTTGAGTTCATAAAGTAAGATAATTAAATTTCAATTTTGAATTCGTTAGTTGTAAAATATCCCGAGAACATGCAACGCCAATGAGTCTGATATCGAAAAATTAATTTTTCTATTCCCAGAGCAATGACCGTGGATTTCTCAGATTCTCTGTGAACAGTGTTTAACATTTATTTACAATAGCCTTAGTGAGGGGTGGGCAAGTCGAAAAAAAGGGGAGAGAAACAAATAACGTGAGCACTATTTGTGGGGTATGAGAGCGTCAAACGACCATAAGGGTGTAAGGGAGATGAATTTGTACAGAGGCGCATTTAAATAAATAAAATAAAATTTAAACGCTCAATTTTATTTATTTTTGTTTTGGTTTTATGTAATATCTAAAATTAAAGTTATTATTATAATTATAAATGCCAATGAGTATGTTGACCAAGCTGAACAGTTAACTTAGGTATAATAAGAATGAATAAAAATAAATATGAGAATTGGCACAATACAATTTAATTTCAACACAGAACTTTTTGTAATAGAAAAGTGCTATTCAAAATATAAACATCTGTGCTTATCTTATTAAACGAATTGGAAGTACAAAGAGGGCCCTATTGAACTCAAGCCGACCCTGGATAGAGTGATAGATTATATTTCAGAGAATCTAAGGGAGATAGAACTAATAAAAAAGACTTTCAGATGAGATGGATGTATTAACAATGTAGAAGCTAGAAGAGAACGGAAATACAATGAAAGCCAATGGTAAAAAAGCTTTTTCATTTGCTTTAAAGCAGTGGGTAAAAACGCACTCGGAAACAATGGAATGATGCGGAGGGTATCGTCAATTGTTTAAGGAAATCTATATTGAAGGGAGTTTGTCATATGGTTGTGCCAATATCGTTTCTAACGACTACAAATCATTTATTTTAAGAGTATAATTTATGATTTTGGATTTTTGGTTTTGGTTAGAAAATATCTATCATAAATAGTAAGCTTGAATTTCAATGTTTTCAAATTTATTAGGAATGGAAAGAAAAAGTATTTTAAAGGGTTTGGTAAAATCTGATTTTTTGTCAAGTACTTTTGGCATAAAGCCATCAGGACACTGAGAGAAAGATTAACAATTTTTTGTAAAAATATCGTTAAAGAAAATATTTTTTACAAACTTACTCGTCCAAACATATCAACAAGAACATAGTGAATTATTAAAATGGGAAAAGTTTGAACACCATATTTTAGCGAAATAGGTATTTCGGGCGAAACGATTTAACAATCAAGTTTAGCACAAGTTTTTCCGTGATGATCTTTAGATCCAACAGTAAAGAAAAATATATACCTAGTTGGCTTCTTTTATAAAATTATGTTCATTGAATATACATTTGTCCAAATTGAATTTAATAAAAGAAATAGTCGCAACCTGTGAGTTTGGGATCTGTGAAATTAAATTTCTTGCAGAAAAGTGTTTCCATAATAGATGCAATTTTATGTTGACGTATTATCGAACGTAAAGTTTAGTAAGACCTTTTTATTTAATTAATTCTCGAAATCAAAAATAAAAATCCTAACAAATATTTTTTATCACGTGTGAAGATCGTCACATAATAAAAAAACCGTTTAGCTAAATCCATATCAATGTCGTATATCGGTTATAATAACAAAATGTCTGGCAGTTACCTTCTATTATGAGGACATTTCTCGAATAGGTATAAAATACAATAACAACGACACAATAAGGGTAAATTCATTATTGTATTCAACAATCTGCTTTCGTCAACCGAAATATCAAACCCTCGACACGGCGTATGTATGCATATAAAAATCAGTGGCGCGCGAAATCAGGACAATAAGGAAATTATGAGATTAAACATAATAGTTTTAAGTATTTAACTTTGTTTTTCGGGAAAATATACTTCCTGGAAATCATTTTAATATTAAAAACCATTCATGAAGTGTTCTTTGGATTGTATGAAAGGAGTCAAAAATGACTGCACGTGAAATCATTGATTTGTCTACGAATTTATTTCAAAGCGAAACTATAACTAGAAAGGAAAAAAAAATAAACAAATCACACTTCAAAATAATATTTAAGTTATTCTGATAATATAGATTTTTTTTATATTTTGTAAATGATATATCGCGTGACATAACGGCAAGTTACAAAGTTAAAAATATTTTCTTTTGGTCGATTTGGTATATTTATATGGAATTTCGTGTAAACATCTGGCAGGACTTCCTGTAATTATTTTGCAGTCCCTTCGGAAGTCCCGGACTTTCCTTAGAAGTCCCAGAATTCCATCAGGGATGTTCTGATATCGGAATTCTTGTGTACAAAATTTCTCTAATAAATTTACTCCTCGATTAATAATAATATTCAATATTATTAAAGATTGAAAACTAACAAAATAGATCAAAGTCAACATAAATACAAGCAGGTATTATCTAGTAGAGTTATTATTCCAAAATTATAAAAGGTTGCTCAAAGTATTTTACTTTATTATTTTTTTAAAGCTTTCAAGCATTGTAAACACTGCCGCAAATTTTTTTTAGATTCATAATTCAACACTTTTATAGGTCCCTACATTTATGATTACTAATGTTCGCCCATTGGTCGAAATTCGACCAAAATTTGAGGAAAACATATACTTTTATATGTACCTACTACAATACAATATAGTTCAGTAACTCACAATTTAAAAACCCTCATTTATTGATATGAAACACATTTTTGTCACAGATTTTTGCTAAATCGATTATGATTTGATTAATGAGCACTTTCTTCTTCTTGACATTTCTTATCCTTTGCATTTTTTGTTCTTGACATTTCTTCTTATTGACATTTCCTATCCTTTACATTTCTCCTTCTTGACATTTCTCCTTCTTGACATTTCTCCTTGACATTTCTTCTTCTTGACATTTCTCCTTCTTGAGATTTCTTTCTTCTTCTTGACATTTCTCCTTCTTGACATTTCTTTCTTCTTCTTGACATTTCTCCTTCTTGACATTTCTTTCTTCTTCTTGACATTTCTTTCTTCTTCTTGACATTTCTCCTTCTTGACATTTCTTCGTCTTGACATTAATTCTTCTTGACATTTCTTGTTCTTGACATTTCTTCTTCTTGACATTTCTTCTTCTTGACATTTCTTCTTCTTGGCATTTCTTCTTCTTGACATTTCTTCTTCTTGACATTTCCGAGGACATTTTTCTACTTCTTTACATTTCTTTTTCTTGACATTTCTTCTTCTTGACATTTCTTCTTCTTGACATTTCTTCTTTCCGTTTTCTTTATATTATATTTACTACAATTAGAAGGGAGGGGGCGCACTGACTTGTCCTTAGAGGGACCATAATAATAGTCCCTCCCAAAGAACGTTCAGACAATATAATACTGTTCCAATCATTAATATCCATTATAAAATCAATTGTCAACTTTTTTGTGAGAGGGGAAGGTAGTAACGAAAATCGGATTAATTCTTACATTTTGGTTCTCTATACAACCATGGGTAGAGGGAGAGGTGGATCGAAAATCTCCAGAACCCAAAGGTGTGCGGCTTTCGTGTCTAATTTCGAAAAAAAAAAAAAATTATATGGAAGGGGGGATAGGGGTGAAATTTATTTCGCCTTAAAGTCCAATCCATCGTAACCGAAGTTAATTTTCTAGCGGTTTTATATATCCCCCCTGGAGTGGGGGGATAAGTAGGGGGAAGTTGGGCGGTTTGAAATCGTTTTAGACGGGACCTGTGGCCCCTCTATTAGTAATTTTCTATCCTTTACCATTTAGGCGCAGCAGATGAAGAGGAGTGACAGTTGGAGGAACGGGGGGAGAAGTATTTATTTTTTCGTTTTTCACGATGCTCTATCCGTAAATGTAATATTATCCATGTTGGTTCGAAATTAGAGGGTACTTATGTTCGGTATAGGCAATTTTATTAGTCAATCATAATTCATAGTTGTGGATCATTGGATTTCAAAATGTCAATGGTTGGGAAAAAACTATTTCAAAATGTTTTTATTGAAAACACTCAATAGCTACTGAACAAAATTTAAAAGAAGAAAATCGGTTCACAATCAGAAGAGAAAATGGTACTGAACCATTTTGTGTTTGTCTATTTATATATAGATAACGAGCTTTTATTTGCAAAGAGTAGTTTTCTAAAGTGTTAAGTGTAAGTGTCAAAAGGTTTATTTACTAATGTTAAAAAGTGAAGGAATAATTAAATTCCTGTCGAGGCATATAACCAGGGTAGTAGTTGTTTTCTGTACAAAAGCGCTCGCTGGTACTATTCTGTTGCACATAACTTTAAGTTGTTCTTTCTTTACTTGTGTTAAACGTTCTTACAGTCAAACTCAAAAATGTCTATAATTTTCTAATATCATTGAACGATTAAATGATAATTAAAAAATAAAATCATTTAAAACAACATTATCATCGATTGTAACAGCTTTATACATATCCAACTAGTAACGGTTGTCTAAAGGTGAAAATTATAAGTGTACCTACCTAATAATTCACGTCGAACAACAGCCGACCCCAGGTATATATGGCGTTTTTTGGCGAGAATCGACAATTAGGGTCGGTTTAGACTCAAACAAAGGTGACCTAGTGACAAGGAGCGGGTAGAGCGGGGAGTTAAAGCGAGTGAAACAGGGGGTGGAATCGAGTATTATCAATAAGGACGGAGAGAGAGAGAGATAGAGAGAGAGAAGGTTTTGTTGGTTATTAGTCGAGTGGGAAAGTATTACCAGGGGCTAACAGAAAGTCCTCTTTTATTGTATTGTCAGTTGGTTGCTGTATATTGATTTTACGAATAAAATTTGATACACATCCACTTTGCTTTGTTATCTATTTCTCAAAATCTCTACAATAACCAAATAGTATTAGCCTAATACAATTAGATTTTTGGAAATATGTTAGGTCTTTCGATTTCTTTTT